TTTTTTTTTTGGGGCGAAAAAAAAGTTTCCCCAATCTTCTCAAAACTCTGGATTCTGATAGAGGGCCATGAGACTTACACCTGAGTGCAAAAATGGAGGCTCTAGACCCTTCCAGAGCTGAGATATCGAAACTCAAAAATTCGACCCGAAAAAAAAACGACAGTGTTACCCCTTACGTTTTTTTTTTGGGGGCGAAAAAAAAGTTTCCCCAATCTTCTCAAAACTCTGGATTCTGATAGAGGGCCATGAGACTTACACCTGAGTGCAAAAATGGAGGCTCTAGACCCTTCCAGAGCTGAGATATCGAAACTCAAAAATTCGACCCGAAAAAAAAACGACAGTGTTACCCCTTACGTTTTTTTTTTTGGCGAAAAATAAAGTTTCCCCAATCTTCTCAAAACTCTGGATTCTGATAGAGGGCCATGAGACTTACACCTGAGTGCAAAAATGGAGGCTCTAGACCCTTCCAGAGCTGAGATATCGAAACTCAAAAATTCGACCCGAAAAAAAAACGACAGTGTTACCCCTTACGTTTTTTTTTGGGGGCGAAAAAAAAAGTTTCCCCAATCTTCTCAAAACTCTGGATTCTGATAGAGGGCCATGAGACTTACACCTGAGTGCAAAAATGGAGGCTCTAGACCCTTCCAGAGCTGAGATATCGAAACTCAAAAATTCGACCCGAAAAAAAAACGACAGTGTTACCCCTTACGTTTTTTTTTTTCGGGCGAAAAATAAAGTTTCCCAATCTTCTCAAAACTCTGGATTCTGATAGAGGGCCATGAGACTTACACCTGAGTGCAAAAATGGAGGCTCTAGACCCTTCCAGAGCTGAGATATCGAAACTCAAAAATTCGACCCGAAAAAAAAAACGACAGTGTTACCCCTTACGTTTTTTTTTTTCGGGCGAAAAATAAAGTTTCCCCAATCTTCTCAAAACTCTGGATTCTGATAGAGGGCCATGAGACTTACACCTGAGTGCAAAAATGGAGGCTCTAGACCCTTCCAGAGCTGAGATATCGAAACTCAAAAATTCGACCCGAAAAAAAAACGACAGTGTTACCCCTTACGTTTTTTTTTTTTGGGCGAAAAAAAAGTTTCCCCAATCTTCTCAAAACTCTGGATTCTGATAGAGGGCCATGAGACTTACACCTGAGTGCAAAAATGGAGGCTCTAGACCCTTCCAGAGCTGAGATATCGAAACTCAAAAATTCGACCCGAAAAAAAAAACGACAGTGTTACCCCTTACGTTTTTTTTTTGGGGCGAAAAAAAAAGTTTCCCCAATCTTCTCAAAACTCTGGATTCTGATAGAGGGCCATGAGACTTACACCTGAGTGCAAAAATGGAGGCTCTAGACCCTTCCAGAGCTGAGATATCGAAACTCAAAAATTCGACCCGAAAAAAAAACGACAGTGTTACCCCTTACGTTTTTTTTTTGGGGCGAAAAAAAAAGTTTCCCCAATCTTCTCAAAACTCTGGATTCTGATAGAGGGCCATGAGACTTACACCTGAGTGCAAAAATGGAGGCTCTAGACCCTTCCAGAGCTGAGATATCGAAACTCAAAAATTCGACCCGAAAAAAAAAACGACAGTGTTACCCCTTACGTTTTTTTTTTCGGGCGAAAAATAAAGTTTCCCCAATCTTCTCAAAACTCTGGATTCTGATAGAGGGCCATGAGACTTACACCTGAGTGCAAAAATGGAGGCTCTAGACCCTTCCAGAGCTGAGATATCGAAACTCAAAAATTCGACCCGAAAAAAAAACGACAGTGTTACCCCTTACGTTTTTTTTGGGGGGCGAAAAAAAAAGTTTCCCCAATCTTCTCAAAACTCTGGATTCTGATAGAGGGCCATGAGACTTTGACCTGAGTGCAAAAATGGAGGCTCTAGACCCTTCCAGAGCTGAGATATCGAAACTCAAAAATTCGACCCGAAAAAAAAACGACAGTGTTACCCCTTACGTTTTTTTTTTTTCGGGCGAAAAATAAAGTTTCCCCAATCTTCTCAAAACTCTGGATTCTGATAGAGGGCCATGAGACTTACACCTGAGTGCAAAAATGGAGGCTCTAGACCCTTCCAGAGCTGAGATATCGAAACTCAAAAATTCGACCCGAAAAAAAAAACGACAGTGTTACCCCTTACGTTTTTTTTTGGGGGCGAAAAAAAAAGTTTCCCCAATCTTCTCAAAACTCTGGATTCTGATAGAGGGCCATGAGACTTACACCTGAGTGCAAAAATGGAGGCTCTAGACCCTTCCAGAGCTGAGATATCGAAACTCAAAAATTCGACCCGAAAAAAAAACGACAGTGTTACCCCTTACGTTTTTTTTTTGGGGCGAAAAAAAAAGTTTCCCCAATCTTCTCAAAACTCTGGATTCTGATAGAGGGCCATGAGACTTACACCTGAGTGCAAAAATGGAGGCTCTAGACCCTTCCAGAGCTGAGATATCGAAACTCAAAAATTCGACCCGAAAAAAAAAACGACAGTGTTACCCCTTACGTTTTTTTTTTTCGGGCGAAAAATAAAGTTTCCCCAATCTTCTCAAAACTCTGGATTCTGATAGAGGGCCATGAGACTTACACCTGAGTGCAAAAATGGAGGCTCTAGACCCTTCCAGAGCTGAGATATCGAAACTCAAAAATTCGACCCGAAAAAAAAACGACAGTGTTACCCCTTACGTTTTTTTTTTTTGGGCGAAAAATTAAGTTTCCCAATCTTCTCAAAACTCTGGATTCTGATAGAGGGCCATGAGACTTACACCTGAGTGCAAAAATGGAGGCTCTAGACCCTTCCAGAGCTGAGATATCGAAACTCAAAAATTCGACCCGAAAAAAAAACGACAGTGTTACCCCTTACGTTTTTTTTGGGGGCGAAAAAAAAAGTTTCCCCAATCTTCTCAAAACTCTGGATTCTGATAGAGGGCCATGAGACTTACACCTGAGTGCAAAAATGGAGGCTCTAGACCCTTCCAGAGCTGAGATATCGAAACTCAAAAATTCGACCCGAAAAAAAAACGACAGTGTTACCCCTTACGTTTTTTTTTTTTCGGGCGAAAAATAAAGTTTCCCCAATCTTCTCAAAACTCTGGATTCTGATAGAGGGCCATGAGACTTACACCTGAGTGCAAAAATGGAGGCTCTAGACCCTTCCAGAGCTGAGATATCGAAACTCAAAAATTCGACCCGAAAAAAAAAACGACAGTGTTACCCTTACGTTTTTTTTTTTTGAGGCGAAAAAAAAGTTTCCCCAATCTTCTCAAAACTCTGGATTCTGATAGAGGGCCATGAGACTTACACCTGAGTGCAAAAATGGAGGCTCTAGACCCTTCCAGAGCTGAGATATCGAAACTCAAAATTCGACCCGAAAAAAAAACGACAGTGTTACCCCTTACGTTTTTTTTTTTCGGCGAAAAATTAAGTTTCCCCAATCTTCTCAAAACTCTGGATTCTGATAGAGGGCCATGAGACTTACACCTGAGTGCAAAAATGGAGGCTCTAGACCCTTCCAGAGCTGAGATATCGAAACTCAAAAATTCGACCCGAAAAAAAAAACGACAGTGTTACCCCTTACGTTTTTTTTTGGGGCGAAAAATTAAGTTTCCCCAATCTTCTCAAAACTCTGGATTCTGATAGAGGGCCATGAGACTTACACCTGAGTGCAAAAATGGAGGCTCTAGACCCTTCCAGAGCTGAGATATTGAAACTCAAAAATTCGACCCGAAAAAAAAACGACAGTGTTACCCTTACGTTTTTTTTTTTTCGGGCGAAAAAATAAAGTTTCCCCAATCTTCTCAAAACTCTGGATTCTGATAGAGGGCCATGAGACTTACACCTGAGTGCAAAAATGGAGGCTCTAGACCCTTCCAGAGCTGAGATATCGAAACTCAAAAATTCGACCCGAAAAAAAAAACGACAGTGTTACCCCTTACGTTTTTTTTTTCGGGCAAAAAATTAAGTTTCCCCAATCTTCTCAAAACTCTGGATTCTGATAGAGGGCCATGAGACTTACACCTGAGTGCAAAAATGGAGGCTCTAGACCCTTCCAGAGCTGAGATATTGAAACTCAAAAATTCGACCCGAAAAAAAAACGACAGTGTTACCCCTTACGTTTTTTTTTCGGGCAAAAAATAAGTTTCCCCAATCTTCTCAAAACTCTGGATTCTGATAGAGGGCCATGAGACTTACACCTGAGTGCAAAAATGGAGGCTCTAGACCCTTCCAGAGCTGAGATATTGAGATCCCACGCAGTGGCGTAGGCAGAAATTGTATTTTGGGTTGGCCAGTGAAAATGTCAGTGGGCGTATAGTTTTTCATAGAAAAAATAACTTCAATAATAATTAACCTTAGAGAGTAGAAAAATTAATAGTCAAACTGCAAAAACAGTTACACCATTATATTATGTCAAATCATCATGTTCAACCAACCGAGCTCAATAAAGGCTGGACAAACCAATGTAGACAATATCTTGTCTATTTTATTCAGGCTAGTCAGAAGTGCAGATTTTATTATTGAATAATAAAACTAAACTAAAAATGTATTTTTTATCAAACTTGCCTCGGCGGGCCAGTGAGTAATGTGGGCGGTCCAGTGCCGCCCTGGCCCAATACTTGCTATGCCCCTGCATCAATGGTACTCTAGTGTAATACATATAGCAGGTGCAAGAACACTGTATTTAACATGGTAAGACTTGCTGCCTGTCAAGAGCAAATTAAACAAGTAGCATAAATTATGTAATTACACAGCTTTTAAAACTAATTAATAATTTTTGTTTACAATACCATAGCCTTGACCTGAGCAAGTTTAGGAAGAGTTTGTATAATGTGTTATAGAGTAAAATACCCTCCCAACCCACCGTTCCATCAGCACCCTCACATAAAACATGTTCTCGTGGCTATGTATGCAGATATAATCCATTCCATCATCACCATCCACTGGCTATTCCTGTGGCTCCGTGGCCGGTGACGTGTGGCTCTCTGAGCAGGTGTGCTGTCTGTTTGAAACAGGGCTACCAGTGGTTGAAGGACAAGATCCTGAGTGAGGAAGGCCGCCGTCAGCAGGCGAAGCTGAAAGAGTTGCAGGCCATTGCGGAGCGGCTGGGCTGCACGCTGCCCCAGCTGGCCATCGGTAATACCGCCCAGGCCTTGCTGCTCTCTCTCTTTCTGTCTGTCTGTCTGTCTGCCTGCCTGGAGCTCAGAACAGGCTGTCTGTTCCCGTCTGTTGCTTCTGTCCTGTGTGTGTCTTTTTGTCTTGGGTAATTTGTTGAACAGTTAGTCTGTTAGTTGTATGTTCAGTCAGATCCGCGAAAATGACTAAAAACGCTGTGTTCTGTTGCCAGGCCAGTAGGTGGCGAGTCCACTTTGTAAAGAAACACTACACGCCCATAGACCGAACACATAATACTCATGCTTGACATCACTTTATTCACAAATTTGCAATTTTGTAGTTAACACGGAAATGATAATGGGATCGTTTTGGAACCTGTTATAAAACATTCAGCTGACAGCAGCAAACATCTCCTCACTATCCACTAGCTGCCTGTCCCCTTATTTTCCTGCTATATTGTTACTGTGTGAAACAGGACATTCAACATTAAAAAACACGAGGAACATGCATTACCATAAATATGTAAGTTTAATGGTTAGAGCCTAAAATAAGCTTCCCTTCTGTGTGTCGCTTGTTTAAAGTATAGCACTGAAATGAAGTGTATTTTTATAGCTTAAAACACACCTGCACTGTCAAGTACTTCTGGCTTTCTTCTGTTCAGTGTTCTGACATGATTGATTATATAAAAAGCACACAGGCCTGAATTGCTTTCAACTCTTCTAAGAGAATCCAGTATCTAGATTTAGCTCTGTTACCTGAGGCCAGATTTCTTGCTGAGTTTTCGGATGGCGTGTTTCGCTGTGGAGTGTTCTGAGTGTCTGTGCTTTGGTCTGTCTCTAGCGTGGTGTCTGAGGAATGAGGGTGTGAGCTGTGTTCTGCTGGGGGCCTCCAGCACTGATCAGCTGATGGAGAACATAGGAGCCATTCAGGTGAGACACTGACAGCAGACAGCAGGACACATACATGAACAGAGCTTTTTATTCTGAGATGAAACATACAAACAACAAATGGCACAAGAATGATATGACGCAACAAGCTGTGAAAATAAGCGTTACATAATTTTGAAACACTCCACAGCTTTGAATTTTTCAAAGCTCTGTTCACACTAGACACTAACTGAAAGAAAAATGCAAATATCAAATTTATTGTATAATTACAAATAATAATTCTATAAAGTAATTCTCATTACAGGACATGTAATGCACTAAAGCACGCAGAAATCCGTGTCTCGGACAGAGCGTGAATACGAAATTGAGCTCACTTTCACGTCATTTTGCGGTTAAACAGACATATTCAAACAAAATGAACAAAATGCAAAGATAATTCTGATATGATAATTTTGAGCAAGTATTCTTGTAAAAATATTCTGTTATGTCTTAACTGAACGTAAACAGTTGAGAAAGAAAACGCACGTGTAACAGGATAATGGAGCCGTGCATTAGCTCTTAAAGTTATAGCAGCCTAAATATTAGCGTACTGCTGCTGTCTGTGTTTTTAGTGTTAATCAAACGACAAAGGACAACCACTTGTTGCTCTTTTTTTAAATTATTTTCCTAACTTTAATAATGATTAATCTATGTTTCATGGCTGGTTAAAACAAATATGTACGGCAGATATTTTTTCTTAAAGGTGCGTTGTGTAATATTTTGGAGGATCTGTTGACAGAAATGCAATATCATATACATAACTATGTTTTCAGTGGTATATAAAGATTTTACTTAATGAACCGTTATGTTTTTATTACCTTAGAATGAGCCATTTCTATCTACATTCACCTCGGGTCCCCTTACATTGACATGCGACGACATGTTTCTACAGTAGCCCTAAATGGACAAATGCGTGTTGTTCTTCGTGCAAAGAAGCTGGCTAACTAGTCAACTAATAAAACTCTGACACAATGATGAACAAGTAACAATAATATTCGCAATAACATCGATTTACTGAATAATTAAGAAAACATCATTTTTAAATGAATCTTTGTAAAGACCTCATTGCTTAACTGGCTACTCTCTGCGGTCTCAAACGACGACATCTGTCGGCCACTGTAACTACTGTTAGTTGTGTTTCGCAACCTCACCACTAGATGGCGCTAAAAATGACTGCGCACCTTTAAGTCTCCGGCCATGGGCTGGTGTGGCAAAAAGATTTTGGCCCTGGTTCCAACATTATTAACCTCCAAGAAGCTCATCACACACATGTTGTCCATCTTTTTTTGACAACATTCCCCAAGTCATACTATATAGCAGAGCTGCTTGATTCAAAGGAAAAAAATTGAATTGCGAATTTTCTGGTAAAAAATTTGTTTGTTTCTAGGGTTTCACAATTTGGCTAAAACTTGTTATTATAAATTAATGACTACAAAATAATAATAATGATTATTAATATTATTATGTTTTATTGTAATTACTAAATAAAATATATTTTTTAAAAATTTACTGTAAAATAAAAATTACGTGTTTAAGAAAAATAATTATTTATTTTGCGGTAAAAATTTTAATTTCTTTTTAAACGTTAAACCATCAAGCTTTTATTTTGGAGGAAAACTGCCTTTAATACTTCTACTGAAAAGTGCTTTTAATGGTAGGTACATGTTGCGTTCCCAAATGCATGTTATAAGTGGACCCAACTTGCGTGTGAATGAAAAACATGCGCGATTGATCATACTATACGGTGTAAGTTGTCACTACATAACCTGTCATTTAACAGCCTATTATAGGCTTTGTAACCAAGATTAAAATAATGAAACTGCAAAAATGAAAAAAGGTAGGCTAACAAACATATTGGGCCATGGTTTTGGCCCAACGAGTTTAGTTATTAATAAATTTGTTACATTGAAAAACACAAACTTCAATCCAACATTCTTTCAGGTTCTTCCAAAATTGTCATCGTCAATTGTTCATGAAGTGGACAGTATCTTAGGCAACAAACCCTACAGTAAAAAGGACTACCGGTCCTAAAAGGAAGGTTAGTGACACTGTGTCGACCTGCTTCTTTCTCTGAGCTTTGACTGAATTAAACATTGGCACATGGGACCAGCACCGCCACAGGTCCTGCAGGAGACACCAACTCGCACACTACTTGGAGTCTGCCGACATTAGCCTGAGAGGAGGCCAAGATCCGCACGGGCAGAAGGGAAGCATGCTCACATACTCAATAAGCAGAACGCCGCTCCAACCACCAAGAAACCACTGAGATCAAGCACACTGGCTCACTTCCTCGTCCTCTTTGTCCCCTCGTAGTAAACACTAAGAATTGCAGTATTAGGGATCCAGAGTTTTTGTACGTATTCTAGAAATGCATGAGATCCACTGGCCAGAGCTTTTCCCCTACATTTTGGAAAACAAATAAATTTGCATAACCTAACAGGAGGTAATGAAACTGATGAAGCACTAGCAATTACATGACTGAACAAACTAAATAAGGCATTTGAAGTTTTATATGGAAACATCACTGAATTGATGGCCAATATGTGATTGTTTACAAGACCTCATTTATACTACAAGCTCTATCATTATTTCTGGCTGCTTTTTTTAATTCTAGAAAGGGATAGTCATTATAGAGTTATATAATACTGTAGGTAAACAAACATTAGCTTTGGGTTGTGAGACTGTCAGAAATATTAGTCAAAAACAGGCCTCAACAAATGTGCAATATCTGAAAGTGTTTATAAACCCTTAGTTTTTTTTTTTTACTTTCAAGAGCTTTTCTAGAAAACAAATGTCCTTATAGAGCGTAGACAGTAGTTGAGTGGTAAACTGTGTGCTTATGTCACAGCTTTGTTTTGCTAAAACCAAAGAAATGTCTATTTCGTCCAAGCACCTGCGTTTGATCAGTTGAGTTTTGAAATGTTATTATTTGGTACTCATCGTGTCATCTGTACTCAGTGTTTGATTGCCTTAATTATGTGTATTTTCCGTTGCTGAATGTGGAAACTTCTGTTCCTATTTAATTTTAGTGGATGCTCGATTAGAACCATTTTGAGTGCACTGGATGTTTTTTTTTCTGTCAGTCAGTATTCACACAGTACTGTCTAAAGAAATTAGAAGGAATTGAGGTGTTTTGGTTGTCATTTAACAGTTTTATGAACATTTTACCTTTTCGTGTTTAGTGTTGTTTGTTTTTCTTTGTGTATGTGTAGAATGGGTCTTGTTTTTGGTCAATGGCGCCCTCTACTGGCCAGGAACACATCACTCCACATTATAAGTAAAATTTTAGAACAAAATCAGTACCTTAATAGTATAATTTATTTCACATATGTTCTCCATGAAACATTATTTTATTGTTGCAACCATTTATTTAGCATGTTGATCTGTATCAACAGAATTAGGCTATCTAGTAGGCTACTTTCTGGAATTTTAAAACCATCAGTGGTAAATGCTGAGCATTAACTGAGGATGACAGAGGCGTTATAGAGTAGTCTAACTTATGTCATCGTAATTATTAACTTATAATAATAGAAATGCCTAAATGAATTTATATCATATCGAGGCAGTTCAAATTAATTCTGACTCTTATTCCAATATGAATTAACTTTTTACTAAATTTAGCCTATGTATCGTAGTGTTCAAAAAGTCTCAATATTGGCTGCATGTACATAGTGGATTTTAATAATGGCCTATATTTTAGTGTAGAACAATGATTATGCTTGGCTGAGTGAAAGTGTTGACCTATAGTTGGAATGTAATGCAACTTAAAGGGTTTTGATTGTTGATTGAGCTACATTGAGTCGTAAGTCAATTTCAAACATGCTTACTATTACTATCCGAGAGGCTTTTTTAAGTAGCACTTTAACCAAAGAATACCAGGCTTTGATGGAAGTGGGAGCATTGCTTCAGTTGTCATTAGCTGAGGCTCATTGTAAATGTTCTTATATTTGTTATTTGTATGTCGGTGAGGCTGCATCTATCATGAAGTGTTTGAGGTACTTTTCGGTTCACATTTGTTTGCACTCGCTCAGGAAGTCATAACTGTTGATGTCAGTAATTAGATGGTAAAAAGCGCACCACGTGTACCAGTTTCGTCATGTGGAGGATAAATGTCCCTGAATGAGAAATTGTTGGTTTACACAAATGTAACAGCCTAATATTTAAGTTTTTTCCCCTGCATTGTTGTAGAAAGAGCCCCAGCTGAATACTTTGCTGTAAAATTATTTGAAAAAAATTTATATTGTCAATAGGAGTAACTGTATGTACAGGAAATCTGAAATGTTTTAATGCTTATTTGATATGAATAGACTGTTTTTTGGTATTTCAACTTAGTATTCTGATAATTATTAACTGTAATATGATCACCATGACTGTTAAAGAAATGCATTAAGTTATGGTGATCTCTGTAGATAGATAATGGAATGGTTTGATAACATGTATAATCGGATTCTGTATGCTATACTGATTTTAATAACCATAATCACATTTGCCTTCATTTATTTTTTCATTGGCAATTATTGCTTGACATTATGCTTGAAGAAAAATATGTACAGCTTCAAACGATGAAAATAAATAATTCTGAAAATTCTTTAATTTAGTATTTGCAATTTTTGTGTCTAAATGCGTTATTTATGAGAAGCCAATATTCATAAACACTTAAAGTCCACCAAGCACAACAATATAACAAAAGATGTTTAATCCTGAATATAAAAAGTGTAAGCTTCCAGAAACTCAATCATTACAAAACAAAGAAAAAGCATTGACCATGGCTGAAAACAGAAGAATTTAAGTGCTATCTTTGGCCCTGACTTAGCTGCAGAAATATTGTGAAATATACAATATAGTCTGAAATAAAAATTCAATTTACACATCCCAAATGCACATGGTGTAGTAAGATATTATACTATACAAAAATAAATCTTGCAAAAAAGCTACAAGGATGAAACCGGAATCATTTAAGTATAAGGTTTACAGTACAGTTTTCTTTCAAATAAAATTGTACAGAAGCATTCACATAAAAAAAAAATATATTTCATACAGTATATTTACACAGGTAAAAAATTACTCCAGTTTTATATTTTTTTATGATTTTAAAAACAAAGTTTTGAATACTGTATAAAGAATGTCAACATCCAAATATTATACACCATGTAAAATATTTAACTCAATTTAATAAATTTATACCTAAATTCTTACAAGTTATTATTGAAAATGTTAATTATGAATGATGTAAGATATCATTAACATGCGTTTTACTCAAAGTATCTTAAAAAAATTGCAAAAAATTTCACTCAAGACAAAATGTGGAGTTAAATGAATATCAACCCATGTAATGAGGGCAAAATATATGGTTCCTTAAAGGCCTTTTTTGGGATCACAGTTAAGGTGAACCGAAGGCCTTGATTTGGAGGTTTTCTTGATTACAGTTAAATTAACTAAAAAAGTCTTCTAGAAGCTCGATCGCCCTGAGCAGAACTGATGCTGAAAAACTCTTCAAAAAAAAAGTTTAAAGTTGAATTTGTCCTCATCCAGATAGAGCTTCAATATAACAAGTCATGTTGGACTTGATGTCCACTTTTCCTAACTAACTAATGGAAGTCTCTACTGCCACAAGAGTGTGTCATGATCATTTGGTGGACTTTTGTGTTCAACGATCTTTAAAAAAAATTGCTACAAGGCTAAAATTCAAGGCAGGTCAGTTGGCAGTCATTGCCACTTGTATGTATCTGTTATTGCTATACTGACGAGTCCTTCCTTTTGTTGCTGCTAGTATTCAGACTGGATGTGAGCCCTGTTATTAACACAAATGAAACAGGAAAGTTATTTTCCGAAATCACTGTTAAATGCGCCGGTTATTGTGAATGACCAAAAGTGAAATTACCCTCTTGACAGGTCGGTCCGACCCATCTGTTCAGACAGGTGCAGCGCCCATTGCGTGGATTGCACTGGCCCCCGTTGTGACATTCACATCTCTCTGAGCAGTCAGGTCCAAATCGATTAACCCCACAGTCTGATGTGAAGTCAAAAATAAATATTTGACTGAATGACTGAAAAAAAAAAAAAAAAAATCCAAGAAATATGGTGGAAGGCTCACCTATATCACAGCGAGATCCCATTTTCCCAGGTGGACACAGACACCTGCCACTGACAGGGTCACATGGTGTGTCTCCATCACAGTCACATTTGTGGACACAATTACGCCCAAATTTTCCAGGCTCACACTCTGAAACATACACGTACAGTGTAATCCTTAACAAAAAGGTTTCATTTGTTAACATTAGGTAACTACATTAGGGTGACAACGATGTACAACAAATGGAAATTTTTTTCCTTAAGATTGTTGTATGTACGTGAAAAACACAATCAAAGCAACCCCCGTTCACACGGATCCAAGAAAACGACTAAAATCGCTGTATTATGCATGACAGGCCAGTAGGTGGCGATGTCACTTTCACTAGATGCCTAGTATAGACTGAACAGGTAATACACATGCGAATGACGTCACTGATTCTTTTCACAAAATCACGTTTTTGTAGTTTACACATGGATGATAATGGTTCAAAAACTTGCACTTTTAAACCTTTTCAACGCTGTTGTTATGACATCTTGACATAAACCAATACATCATAACCTGTCAGTGTCTTTGTCATGACAACTTGACATTAAATTAAGTTAAAGGGTCATGTGACATTGGCTGTCCTGAGGCCATTATAACTGTCATGAATATTTTTCATGACCTCAACTACAGTGGTACTAATTGAATTTGTCATTAAAAAGTCATGATGGCTTCATGAGAGCCAATGTCAAAACCAACCATGTGACAGTAATGTAATGTTAACCAATAAAGCTAGGTGGTTTCTTAAGTTTGATAATTAATCTGCTATTAATCATGTTTATGACAGGTTGTGTTGTCTTAGTAATGTCAAGTTATCATGACAAAGACACTTAAAGGTTATAATGTATCGGTTTATGTTAAGGTGTCATAACAAAGACATCTCAAACAATGTCATAACTGAGCAAATGACACTTAATGACAGTTGTCACAAACATGCATAAAACTCCCTTCATATTTATAACATATGTCATGTCATGATTATGAAGGTGTCATGTTAGTCTTATGCACACCCCTTCAAGTAAAGTGTTAGTGAGTAAATAAAGACAACATGTGTTTTTACGATGCTTTAGCTCATCAAAATAAGTTTAGCAAATTTCAACTTTTTTTAAGTTGTACAAGATTGAACTATTTTTTAGTCAGTTTAATGTAATTTAAGTTGAAATGACTTTAACATCCAAAGTTGATTATACTTAAAATTCAAGGCCCCCAAAACAACATGGTTGTGTAAATGAATGGCCAAAATGCATAAAAGGTTTTCTGTTTTAAAATGGTATCGTGTAAGCGGCCCCTTAGTCATCATGAAATAACAATGAAAATACTTATACAGAATTTATTAATAGTAGTTAATACTAAAAAACTTAAGATTGATCTGTTAACATTAGTTAATGGTCCTGGTATACTCTACATTGTGGGGACAAAATGTCCCTGAAATGTTGGCAATATCTGAAGTCCTTGTCCTTGTGAGGACAATTTGATGTTGTTTTTTGTTTTTGAAAATGTAAAAATGACGAAAGTCATGTTATGTTCCCATAAAACAAGGAAACCTAACATGTTTGTGCTGGCAATCTACTGTATGTATATATATATATATATATATATATATATATATATATATACACACACACACACACACATTACAAGTTTCAATATTCAATTTTTTTTATCATACTTCCTCAAAGAATCCCGAAAAAAATACTTTCTCACAGTCTCCTCATAAATAGAAATAAATGCAGTAAATCAGCATATTAGAATGATTTCTGAAGTATCATGTGACTGGAGCAATAATGCTAAAAATTGCAGGTATCACAGGAATAAATTCAATTTTAATAGTAGTTAAAATATAGTATATAATATATTCAAATAGAAAATGGCTATTTTAGATATGAATAATATTTCACAATATAAATGTTTTTACTGTATTTTGTCAAAAAAGAGAGAGAAAAATATAAGACTCAAAACCTGACCCCAAACTTATATACATGTAGCATTATACAAGAGCTCCTCTGTACCTCTATCACAGCGGAGTCCTTGGTAACCTGGAGGACAGAGGCAGCGGCCCGTTCCAGGGTCACACGGTGCATTGGCACGGCAGTCACACAGAAGCTGGCAGCGATGACCATGGAAACCAACAGGGCATGCTTTGGATAAAAATAAAAATATAAATTAATCATCACAAAACTGACTAAAATATTCAGGATACAAAATTCGATGAAAAAGATCCTGTGTTTTCTCACCATGTTCACAGAGATGCCCATAGTATCCAGGACGACAGTGACACTCGCCCGTCACTCTGTCACAAGTGCCGTTATTTTGACAGTCACACATTTCCCTGCAGTCGGCACCATATCTCCCTCTGGGACACTCTGATCAACACAACAACACATTTTATTTTATATCAGAATTTAAATGTTCTGATAATCTGTGCTGACCTATATCACAGCTGTCTCCTGTCCAGCCCAGGCCACAGGTGCAGTTTCCTGTAACAGCGTCACACACTCCTCCATTACTGCAGTTACAGCGCTGAGCACAGTCTTCCCCAAACCAGCCCTTAGCACAGCCTGAGACACAATTACATCAGCTTATTTCATACAACAAACTCAATCCCTCCACCCTCAGTTTTAGCAGAAATACTGTCAGACCTTTCCCACAGTCTTCCCCTCGCTGGCCAGCTTTGCACACACATCTGCCTGTGACCGGATCGCTCCGGGCTCCTTCACCACACAAAGCTACACGTACACAGTCTTTCCCGTAACGGCCTATCGGACAGGCTTTAGAGAGAGAACAGTCTGTTAGTGATTACACTCACCTTTCTTAAACCTATGGGCCTCTTTCGTCAGAAGTGATCGAAAAAACTTGAATTTTGCTTTAAACGGATTGGGATGACACTTGGTAACTTTACTTGCATTAGCTATGTAAACACCAAAAAAAAAAAATAATAATAATAATGGAAATGATTTGTATGTCAACACTTAGCTCCTTCACGATTTAAAATGACCGATATATGAAATGAACGGAAAATATGAAATAATACGAATCTTATGGTGGTACAAACTAACTACTACTTTCCATGTGTTCCCTGTTTGATTCTAATCATAACCAAAATCTGATACTTATCTGACAAAATATATCTAAATATATAAAAAGTAGTCTTTTAGAATGTCTAAATATATATGCAAAACCTAATGAAATTTTGTCTAAAAAAGTTTTTATTTTTTTAATGCTTCCACCTCTATTAACATGCCATCTCTATTCTCCCTTTAAAAAAAAGATTTTAAAGGCCTTCACTTTATTTTATTGTGAAATCTTTCATTTATTGAAAAATAATACAAATATTAATTATATTTATATATATATATATATATATATATATATATATATATATAATAAAAATAATATATATATATATATATATATATATATATATATATATATTCTAATGGAAAAAAAGCTCATATTTTATTTTTTTTTTTTTT